TTCAAAGAAAAGCACCGCCCTGTTTTGAATTTCAGCTTGTTTTCATTTACTAGTGTATATTAATAAATCATTTTCCTTGGGTGTTTTAGTGAACAGCTTTACAAACTAACTCCGTCTTTTTCTTCATTTCCATCGGAGAATTACATGGTAAGTTTATAAATATTTTTRTCACGACATATACAACAATACTTATGCTTTCGAGATCATAAGTCTTTTTTGCTAAGGCTGATTCACACGACTAGTCATGCGCAATTGAAGTGGTGATGCCGGGCGGAGGTGGAGGTCTATATAGACACAATTTACGGCAATATTACACGAAGGTATTTGTGTGCGCTCTTATATGCTTTGTCCATCGTGCAGCTAGGTTCAAATCTTGATGCAAGTCGTAGGTCTCCTATAGTCGCACGAGTCTTAGACCACCTCAAATTGCATCGTGTAAATCGTTCTTAAAGAACCTCATTTGGGGGAGAAGGATAAAAACTAACGTTAGCTTGTCTATTTGACTGATGCCTATGTTGCTGCAAACAGCAGTCTTTCTTTGCAAGGAGTAAAGCAAATATGACAGCTGTAGACTTGAGGTAAGGTCAAAGCAAGGGTACTAAAYCATTACCAAATATGAAACGAAACCAGTAGATCTTCTTGTTAAAACGGTGCCATTTACATATTACATATTTATTATTTATACAGCCTTTTKCAAAAATTATGAGAATTGTCTAAATATCTAAATATCATAATATCCATATCCATATATTGTCCGGAACACGCGGGTTTGCTAGAATAATTCATTGTTGACATCGAGAAAATGTTCAGAACTACGGATAAGTCTGTCGCCAAAAAAAACTAAACTACAAAGACAAGGGACTAAGGGCATCGCGCGGGATTACCCATCATGCACTCGATATTATGATATTTAGATATTTCAACAATTCTCATAATTTTTGCAAAAGGCTGTATATAAGTGAAATATAACTGGAGCTGTTGAGAATTTGAAATGTAGACTGGAAAAGTCGAATATTTGAGTTTGAAGATAATATGTAAATATGCTGTTAATATACTGTAAATTCAATTTGTAGACACTCGAGAAGCAAGAKAAACTAAGCTTGCTTCTCTCGTGTTTTTCAACTCCCACCGTGTTTATATCAGAGGACATGAGACACAAGCGACCGTTTGATATTTCTAAAATAAAAATTATATGAAGGTGCAATTTAACATACCCCTTTTTCATTGCACTTTTTTTTGATTTTCTATAGGAAAAACTTAATCAAACTTCAGATATTTTATCAGGATCTCAACTACGATTTGATTGAGGAGCATATATCTTACAAGGTAACACTGTTTTAACAATTTTTAACTTACCAATAACTGTAGGATAAAGTGAGCTAAATAGARTTAATTATTGTGTCTTTTTGTGTGGAAGAAGAGAGGGTGGAAAATAATCCACTGTCAAAACGGCTCCTACGATCTGAATCATAATTCCATTCCCAAAATAGCTCATAGTCTAAGCATGAACGAGTCTCCGTGATGAGTGCGAAGACCAGGATAGGTTCTCTAAGCTCTTTCTCACTTTTACTAATGCACCATAATCAATACCATTTTTGTTCGTTGCAGMTGGAAAACTTTGTGTCAGACATCGGTGGACAGTTAGGCTTATGGCTCGGAGTGTCGGTGCTGAGTGGCTTGGAAATTATCGATCTTATCATTCTACTATTGCTTCATTTTGGAAAGAGTACAAAAATCAACAACGAAAGCAAAGTTCAAGTTGTGAAAATAGGCGACGAAGAACGAAGTGGTCCACCGACTTTGATGACGAACAACTTCTTAGCGCACGGAAATTTATGAACGCACTTGTTTAATCATAGGCTGCCATAGGCTTGAGAGAAGGAAAAAAAAACGAATGCGTACGCTTTTACGCTAGTATTGTATCGGCGAGAGCTCTTGGTTACTTTGTCGTTGTTCGACCTCATTAGATACTATAACAAAGTCACCTCTAGAAAGGAAAGTACATATAATATCACAGTTCACTGAAGTTTTAATATARTAGACTACAATTGTAGCTCTTCATGCTCTTTGTTTTCGTTGATTTCAACGCATTTTCAGTAATTGTAGCTCTGCGTTATAGAAATTTCTCAATATTGACTTACACAAAACTCTCAACCATAGAGTTGTATACGGCACTGTGAAGTTTTGCCGACTACATTTTCAAAATATGATAAGAAAG